ATGGATACTTTTTTTTAAACGGTTCACAGGGCGAGTTCGGGGCGGGGCATCTCCGCCCCGCCCCACGACCCGAGACGGGGCGGCCCTCCTTGCCCAGCCCCGCCCCGCCAACCCACTCGGGGCGATTTTTTTCGCCCCATTCGGGGCGGGGCACCGTCGGGGCGGGGCGGGGCAATTTTTTTTGCCATCTCTACAAGTGAACACCATTGTAATAATATCTTTTACACATTAGAGTTTTTGTTTATTTCACTTGAGTAAGAGCATGTTTGGCTTAACTTAAAAGCCTTCTTCTCGATGTATAATGAGTTATACTATCAAATTAAGTTTATTTTTTACTTCTTTTTTCAACATTTAAACTAAGCCAAACATAAAATTGGACTTAAATGTGTCATAACTTTATTGATAGGAAGAGCAAAAGAGTGTATCCCAATAAAATGCGTGGTCAAAATCAATTGCTTACTAGGATCTTGACTTTCTAGCAACTTTTTAAGGTATACCAAACAAGCACTAAGTGATGTATAAAGTCTATATGTTTATTGGTATAATTATTCTTTGCTATCTAATACCATGTAAAAAAAGCTCCAATCAATCAAAATTTGTATATAATTTGTAGAATATGCACACATGACATGATTGTTTAAGAAGATAGAACGGTACTAAATAAAATAGAAAAAAAATGATAAAATTTATGCATTATACTATTGAACATATCGGTAATATCGCAATGATATAAACTTCCATGGTAGATCGGCGAGTGAGGATATGAAAAATATCCTACCAAAGATATTCCTAAGAATTTATTTTGATTCCATTTCTCTTGAAAAAGAGCAAGCAAATTATGGGCATAAAGAATTACTTCTTCTTTTTTTTTTTTTTAGAGCATGTTTGGCTTAACTTAAAAGCCTTCTTCTCGATGTATAATGAGTTATACTATCAAATTAAGTTTATTTTTTACTTCTTTTTTCAACATTTAAACTAAGCCAAACATAAAATTGGACTTAAATGTGTCATAACTTTATTGATAGGAAGAGCAAAAGAGTGTATCCCAATAAAATGCGTGGTCAAAATCAATTGCTTACTAGGATCTTGACTTTCTAGCAACTTTTTAAGGTATACCAAACAAGCACTAAGTGATGTATAAAGTCTATATGTTTATTGGTATAATTATTCTTTGCTATCTAATACCATGTAAAAAAAGCTCCAATCAATCAAAATTTGTATATAATTTGTAGANCATTACAAGCATATGCGTGCTTATGCGAAGCATGTGCTTAATTAAGCATTTTCCAAATTTTAATATTATTTTAAATATTCTAAACTAATAAATAAATAAAGTAATGCATTCTTTGAACTTTGTACATATTCTTCAAATTTTGAAAATAAATAAATATATATTGCACAAAATTATTAACACTACAATTACTTGAACTTTATACTTACTCTTCAAAATTTCAACAAAAACTATTGTTTAAAATTATAAATACTATAATTACTTCTTCTTTTTTTTTTTTTTGTTTTTTGTTTCTTGTTTCTACCCTATTTGTTACATGATAGTTGATACTCCCTAGTCCCCACAATGCTATTGAGTTCATTCTGTGTCATGGAAGGTATTAAATAATCCAATTCTTTTTTATACCTTTTGTGTCACTTTATTTTATCATACCAATGTACAAAGTATTTTTATTTTTTTGTGTCACTTTTTTTGTTTTTTTTTTTTGTTAATTTTAGTTTACTATTTCTTCTTTTATATATTTTGCGAGAAAACATCACTAATGCGGAAAAAAGATTATTATGTTTATACAAAATGGAGCATGTTGAAATGTGCTTAAAACTTAAAAGTTAGTTTTTCTAAAAAATAAATCAAAACATATTTTTCAAAAAATTATATTAAATAATTTAAAAGTTTCAAACCTCTTTTTCAATCTCTCTTAAATTGGCTTTGCCCCCGTTTGACATCTATTCTCTTCCCATTCTCTTTCTCTTTCTCTTTCTCTTTATTCATTTCAACCACACATCCTATCAATAAAATAATATTACACATAAACCCAAAAATTCTTCTTACTTTTCAACCACAAATTCTTCCCATCAATCACTATTCCAAAATTTATTCTTCACCAAAATGGGGGTCAAATTTTATGAAAGTATTGGATGGAATAAATGGGTCCACAAAAAGAAAAAAGGCATCTAAAACCCCTTTTTTCTATTTTTTTCTGGTCCAAATCATCAAATTGGGAGTGTAGGTTGGATGAGGTGCAGATGTTATCTGTCTTCATAGATAAATAATATCGAATAAGAATGGACAATTTTTACATAAAATTTTAATTTCTTTTACTTGTAAAATATTATCCAATTTTAGCGGTGTCAAAATAGGCAACGGCCCAAGCACACGGTGACTCATCCCATTGTAAAATAGGATTGAAACTAGCCTAACTTGCTTTGAGCCAATTCACTTATTGGTCTACAAATTAAGGCAGGTCGTGTCAAGTTGAAATTTTCAACCCAATGACACGTGAAGATGTGCCCAGGCGGCTCGATTTATCAACTCAAAAATGACATATTGGCCCAACATGGTTATGTTGACAACAACTTGAGTTTAGCCTACCTGCATGAGGCTCGATTGGCGTCAACCCACTCATTTTGACACTCTTAAGTTTAATACTATGTATTAAATATGTACTTGTAAAATAAATATGGACGCATTGAAATTTTATACATGACTTAGATTTCATTGATTTGCGCACACTACGGCACAAATAAGCTACAATTAATCTAGGAATATCCGAAATTCAAAAGCAGTGGCTATTTTTATCGTCGCCATTTAGGATGTGGATTCTTGTGAGTATTATTGAGGAGAATTAGACCCCTTTTTGAGAATGGTCACAACCTACATCGAATAAAGCAAAGAACTCTGTCTAAGGTTTTTAATGTAAGAATATTCAATTTGTCTGGTTAAAATTTGGTGATTAGGATTCTTTCTTATCAAATCCTAGGTCAACACGTCAGCGTCTATGTTACCACATCAGTAAATGTGGACCCCATCTTCACAGTCAAAAGTGCTCCACAAAATTGCATGTCAACTCCCAATTGTAAATCCCTTTTTCCATTCCAATTTGGTAACTGTATTCCACGTGGTTAATAACTTAATAAATATTCTCAGCTATTCAAAAACGAGGAGAGAATGGAGCGATCTACGTCTTAAACCTATGAGCGATGGTTTGGACATCGAGACCAACGAAAGGAAATGGCTAAGTGAAAAAATAGAAGTTTAAATCTTGATTAGTATTAGAAACCAAACACATCCTTAGTGTTCAAATCATTGATATTCAATCAACGTCCTATTTGAAGGAACATTTATGTAGAATGTTGTGAAAGATCTACAAGTCGAGGTGTCAAAGGGTAGCATCAAGGCTGGCCGTGCAAAGGCGGGGTCGAGCAATTTTCATAATATTTCTTTTTAAAAGACTAGTAGATTTTTTCATTAAAAATCCAATTTTTGATTTGCATGCTTAACTGCATGCGTTACTGCATTAACCTTGCATCAAACATTAATGCATGCCTCTTAGCATGGAATAAAGCATAGAAGCATGCATTAAGGCGCCGACACATGCTGCTAAGTATGCATTAATATTTAGAGAGAGAGAGAGAGAGAGAACAGCTCTACAGGTCGATGTCGTGCACTGCTTAGGCCACTAGGCCACGAGTCCCTATTTGACACCCTTAATTGTAGGCCTCGGGACTTCAACTAGTCTAGAGGTGTCAATCTGGTTATGGAGATGGCCTTGCCCGACGCTTTTTTGGTAGCAAGCCTAAAATATATATGGGCTGCAGACCCCAAGAGCTAAGCCTGGCTCTAGACAAGTTTTGACACCACTAAATTAGGAAATAAGTTTTGGTAGGACAATCCAATATCCATACGTGGTAGGATTGTACATTTAAATCACGATACCTCATATCTCAAGTCATTCAAAATGCAACATCTTGTATCACATCCACTTTGTTTCTCCCTCTTACCACCTCGAACGCCAATGCGTCATGATTTAAATAGACTGTCTTATCACATGTGCATATACGACCGTCGCATTGAATGAGAAAAGTAGATGTATCATTTGACTTCATTACATGTCCAAGGTCCTCCAAGTATATAGCAAGCAAATGCAAGCCCATTCTCCACCAATCCTAATATTGTGTAGAATAAGTGCAAAGTTTGCAAGTTGTATTCCAAAGAATCATAGGACTAAACAAGCCATTTATTTCTCCCAATCTGTTTGGCTCAGGGCAACAACGTACTAATAAATCCCATTAAACCTAGTATAATTCGATACAACTAAGAATTGATTCAAGTTGTTGGTGTTGTTCAAGTAAACATTAGTCTATTCTCTTTCCCAAAAAGCTTTACAGAATATACCTTAATATTATGAAGCAAAACCTGATCTTTTCTCTCCCAAGTGATTAATTTTTTTGTTGTTAGTGTTAAATAAGCGGGATTAGACTTCCTTTTCGTTGATTTATGTCATGAACTATAGTATACTTTGCTAGAGGTTTGACCAGCCATCAGGGAAAAGATTCTGATAAATCAACCTTAAAAAAGGTTATATCGCAGTAGTTACGTACACATACATATGTATGTACATACGATGAGTTGGCGATGCGAAGAATGCCGGTGTGACGTCTATCTTCAAATGGCTTTTGAATTATTGAGGAAAAAAGGAATCAAACCTAGCAAAGAAGAATGGAATTTGGCAATAGATGTGCATTATGAGGAATTGATTCCCATGTGAACAATTCTCCTGTTTTCTGATTTGAACCTCAACCACGTGGACAAGCCTACTCATCAACAAGTGATATATGCAGCTTACGTGGAATGCAACGTGTAATTCCAAGTCATATCTACTCGAGCCATCCATGTCGACAAGTGATGTAGGCTAAATATTTTCTCACGTGGCAAATAACGTCTTCCCCTCATAACACCTTAACTGAAATGGATACAGAATATGGAATAATATTTCAAACTCTTTACAAAATAATGCATTGGGAATCATATAAAAAAAAGTAGCATTATTGCACTTGAGTTTGAAAAATAAGTGATTCTATGCATGCACGGGGCAGTTCACAACTTCAAACCCTCCCCTGCATGTCCCCTCATCCAAAAGAAATCTTTCAAAATATCAACTTTTGGGATCATAAAAGAAAACCATCTGAAGCTCACATACTAAGGAAAAGTAAGTTTAGGGTCCCACCAAACAAGACCTTAACAAGTATATAAACTACCCTAGCCATTTGCCAATTCATTTCACTCCGAGCAATACCTTCTTCTACCAATACACTTGCCAATACAGCAAACTTTTCTTTCTTCAGGTGAGTCCTTCCTGCATTGTAGAAATCTGCTCAATGCGAATAGATGACATTTTCTTGACTGCTCTAGACGAGATTATAGCTTCATCTAGTATTGTACAATCTACCATAAGAAACAAGCCATTGTAGTTCGAAATTGTAAGACCATTGTTTTGTTCTTACTGATGGAATTTCTATTTGCAGATAACAATATATAGTAAATGAGTAGTGGAGACTGGATGTGTGCTGCATGTCAGCATCTCAACTTCAAGAAACGCGAGTCATGCCAACGATGTAGCTGTCCTAAATATGCCACCGAAGCCGATGTGTCCGCATATGGGACGAACAGAACAGAAGTCTTGGCTGGAGACTGGTATTGTGGCGCTTTGAATTGTGGTGCGCACAACTACGCAAGCCGAACAAGCTGCTATCACTGCAGTGCATCAAGAGATTATTGTGGATATGGTGCTGGAATGATGGCACCTGCTGGTTATGCATATGATGCCAGTGTGATTCCCGGATGGAAAACTGGCGACTGGATTTGCACCAGGTAAAACCATCCGCTCTTTAACAGTTTAAGCTCTCAGACAAGGTGATTCAATAATTAGTTCACATTAAGTTTGGGAGTATAAGGGGATAGGAATTATCTGACATTAATGTGAAGTTGAATAAGTGTATATTATTTATCATAATTCCAAGAGATTGTCTTGCAAGTGTACTAACTTAAAATTAACCTGCATTTTTCACAAAATTACACTTCGAAGAGAGTATCTTCATGCCATCTTCACCCACCACGTCACAAGAACACGCTCACACACTCCAACACGAACACTTTCACACAGTGTGGGGGCTTAAAATGTGAATGAGGTATATTAGTTATGTAATTTCATTGAAATTCTTTATCTATGAGTGAATTTATTATTTTCCCAGATTAGGATGTGGCGTGCACAATTATGCTAGCAGGATGGAGTGCTTCAAATGTAAGACACCTAAGGACTTTGGTAAGCAATTTACCATTAGCATAATAACTAGCTACAATGTAGTTTCTTGATTCAAGGCACTTATATATTTCTCTCTTCATTTTTCTTTTTCAGGAGGAGCAATGTGAGAAAGTGAACTAACAAGAACTTAGTTGCATCAGAGAATGATCAGAAGTTACAAACTTAAATCTTATTTCGTTTATGTATTTTGTTTTTTCAATGCATTTTCTTCAAATAGTTAACTCAAGAAGGATTTCTAAATTCAATCAATGTGCAATGTGTTTTCTTTTACGCGAAACTAATGAACGCTTATCAATCCTTAACACAATTGTCGATGAAATTGCCTACACAGAAATTCGAAGGCATTGCCAATTGTATATGGAGTTATGGAACATTGGACAGTATAATTATACAAGAAAAATAAGTTCAAATATTATCGATTGTGTACCAAATGTTTGGTTGGATAACAGTTCAATAAGATTCAGAAGGTATCAAGATTCATAGAATCTGTATGAGTAGTTCAATTCCTGTTCTGGAGCAACAAGGCTTGATTCCTTTAGAAAAGCATAATATCAACTCGCATGAAACGAAATCTTAATAATTTACAATAGATAAGAACCAGATGCTCCCTCTTTATGAACACTATGAAGAGAGTCAATTGCAACTTTTGTTCTTCATTGGTTTCTCAATTCCTAGGGCCCCGGACGTCGGCAAACGATGAAACAAAGAAATTTTATTCGTCCTTTTTCTTTTCTTTGGTCCATTATACCATTGCATTTGTTTAGAATAAATGCTGATTTTGTGAACTAAATTAAGCTAAAACTGTATCCAAATTAAGCTAAAATAGTTTCTTTCTGGTTCTCCACATTTGACTTGATGGGATGTTGAAAAAGAACTAATTACAGAATAGTGCTAGTGGCTCTTAACTTTGAAAAGATTCACTGGTTCTTATTACCTTAGCTGCTAACAATTTCACATGGTTTGTGGTGTTAAGACATGAAACAAGTGTTACTGTGACCAGCACATGCACAAGCACTGCTGCAGCCTCCGCGGAGAACAACCAGCAGCCGCTGCCTACCCCACCTGTCGAGCCACCTGTGACCACTGTTCCATGGCATTTCTGTTGCTAGGGGCGGACGCAGAATTTTAACATTGGGGGAGCATAATCGAACTTGTAAAGAAGTTGAGAGAAATTTTACAATCGAAAATTTACGTCCAAAAAAATCATACCCCATGTAATTTTACATCCGAAAATTTACATGGGATATGACTTTTTCGGATGTAAAATATCGAAAAATTTTGATGTCATATTCCATAT